GTGTGCTGCCTGATATTTGCATATTCTCCCTAAAGAAAAAAAGCCATGACTCCTGACTCTATATGTCTTCTGGAGAATAAACTATTTTCAGATCAAAGACCTTCATATATGTGGCTAATGTGATTACCTGCAACCACATCACCCCTAGTATACCTATTCAAATGTGGTAACCTATGTTTGATACATTTCTTCAAACTAATAACTTGTAGCTATTGCTAGTAAATGAAATTGTGGTTTTAAATTGATCAGAGTATACTCACTTTCTTAGTCAATTTAAAAAGAGGCAACACCGCTCTTCAGTGTTTCAGTTTAATTGGTCAGTATGACTACATAGAGGGTTAAAGCATTCCCTTGCCCGTCTTTGCTGGCTAGACAAAGGTGTTGTTTACATTGCTTTCCTTGACCTCATTCTCCTTTTTGTAATTAGCTTTTGCTGGGTGTACATCGAGAGAAAGGTAGAGACAGTAAGGCTACAGAGGCTGCGTTATGACCCTTGTCCATCCTGATTATTTTTAAAGCAAACACTTTTTTTAAAAAGATTTCATTTATTTATTTTTAGAGAGAGAGAAAGGGGGAGAGAGAGGGAGAGAAAGGTCAATGTACAGGTGCCTCTTGCATTCCCCCAACGGGGGACCTGGCCCATAACCCAGGCCAGTGACCTGACTGGGAATCGAACCGGCCACCCTTTGGTTCACAGTCCAGCACTCAATCTGCTGAGCCGCACCAGCCAGGGCCATGTTGATTTTTTTCATCCCTATCTTCCTTCAATAAACACTAATGACACATTGACCTTTGCTTAACTGAATACCTCAAAATGGAGGACAGTATGGAAAGTGTGCCTGAGTCTAATTGACTTTTGCATTCTCAGGACCTAGCACAGCACTTGGCTACAGAGTTAGCAACCTAATGAAAGTCTGTTGAGTGAATAATAAATGCACTGCTGCTACCTATACAGTATCACCCCCTGAAAACCCAAAGCACAATATGGATCTTTATGTTTTATTTTATATCAAATCTCTAGTTTCAACAATGATCATCCGTGATAGCATTTGGCTCTAAACATTTCATTTTAATTTCTAACGGTAACCTCAAGGGGGTTAGCATTCATAATTTATATCTTTATGGATGCATTTAGCTCTTCCACGGACTTTCCATTACCTTAGCTACTTGAGAAATAATTTCAAATAAGCTTCATCAGATTCTCAAAGAAGGGAAGCTCTGCAAGTGTACCTTTGCTTGAAATAGGCTGCAAATGAGGTTCACATGTAGAATGTTCTTGCAGAAGCAACGTGGAAAGACAAATAGTGCAAGCGAATTCATTATATTTCACCTTCTCTCCCTCCTCTGCTTTTCTGATAATTTTGCTTTGCTTAACATTTTGAATATTTAATACTATGCTAATTTTATTCCACTCAATATCATTTCTACTCTAGAGAAAATTTGACAGAAGTTATTCTGCCAATATTTAAAATAAATGGGGGTAGTGTTTGGAACATTTGCATTGTTTAAAATTATTTTGAACCTCAAAAATTGTTTTACTTGCTCTGTGGACTTTCTTTTAATGCTTAAAAGAAGTGACAAATACTGACAATGCATTCATTTTCTCAAATTTCAGTTTTAGGTAGGATGAGAAAAATTATATTTCACTGGGGCTGAGAGTGAGTGAGTGGACTCTGTCATAATTTCTTTGATAGCATTATTTGAACATTGATGAAGTCAAATGTGGTCAAAAAAGAGTATTTTCCATGCATTCAAACACATAGAAACAAGATCTTCTCCATATATTATTTAAAAAATTAACATTGGTCTGTGATTTAATTTTCCAGTTTTTCTATTAGTCTAAGCCCCCAGCAAAATAATATCTCCCTCAAAATATAGCATTCTATTTAAATTTATACTCACTTAAGAACTTATTCAGGCACCATTTGGCTTGGAATGACTTGGGAAAAAAGAATTGGTAAACTTTAAGAATGTTAGAGGTGACTGAGGCGTTAAAGATAATCTCGTCTAAGCCCTAACTTTATCAGCAAGATAATAAAGGCTTGGGAGGAGAAAGTCATTTTCCCATGTCACACATGTGGTTAAGACAAAACTAAAACCCTTCCTCTATTCCAAGTAAATTAACAGTCTGGTATATAAGCTTTTTTTTTCTTTCAATTTCTATATGTTCAAAAGAGACTCTCATCTTGCTCACCACAAATCTAGTACAAAAATTTGTACTTTCATATATAAAATTGAGTGACCTATAACCAAATGTTCAGTTCTCACTATATCATGAGTTTTATGTTTATTTCTTATAAAGGTTGTATAGATGAACATGGTAAATATAAAATTTATAAAGCTGTTTAGAACAGAGGTTTTGCTGGTGGAAGCAATTTACAATGTTTCAGCTAATATTTACTGTAAAAAAAAAATGAATGAATTCTGGAATTTTATACCTGTTCATTCTTTTCCTAAGGCTAATAGAGCACATGTTTTTGGCACGCACGTTTGGGTCAGTGGTCATTTTGATGAGCTAGCTCTTTCTTCAGAAAACAAGTTAACGTTGGTCTTTTCCAAGATTACCTCATGTTCAAAAACACCTCACAGCAATGAGAAATCAGTGTGAGCGGCAATATGCTAATTGCTAATTTGGGTTTTATAAGGAAATGACACTTGTCTGTAGGGGGAAGGAAAGGGACAGCTGTGGTGGGTGGAGCTGGAGGCGAGCGAGGAAATGCCAAGGGAGGCTTTACAGGTGGAAAGGACTTTTGTGAGATGTGGCTTCAAGCACTTTCTGTTTTTAAAAAGTTCTCTCATCAGCACTTTTCATCATCATCCTACTCAGAACATCCTATTTCCTCTCCCCCCCAATTCTCCACCTCATCTCAGGCTATTTCAGTTGTAAACCCTGGTAAAGTCTCAACAATAAATAAATATACTACGTGTAACTTCTTAATATATAAAGTGAAAGAGTGTTGATTTAACATGTACTGTATTTTTAACATTTACTGTGAAGGCCGGGCATTTGTTGTCAACAAAACATGTTTCAATTAAATGTATTTTACGTAAAGCTTAAAGTGATTTTTAACAAATGAATGTCAAAATGCTGGAAAAAATAATGCCATGTCCAAGTTCTCTGTAGCTTCAAAATTCAGCATAATTCCAAAAACAAACTTAATGATTATTGTACTTTTTATGTGAAGAACATATTTTCTGAATTTATCTTTGGATTCAGATTATTTCCCAGAATAATGATGACACACTACAGTTTTTTTGTCTAAACAGTTTTAGTTATTATCTTAATAATACTGGGGGGGAAAGTACAGTGTCTGCATGTTATTAAAATTTCAGAAGTGTTTCATTTTCTTCAAGACTTCTAGAACTAGCCAATGAAAAAAATCAAGAACCACTTGTAAAAATTCTTTTAATATCCTAAAATATATTCACAGGTCATATATCTATTAGTATGCTTTATTTTCATAAAAAAATGCAAGACAAAAAAACTCTAAAACTTGCCAATAGGTTATATTTAGCATGCTTTCCAAATACTAACTTAAAGCATAAAATTGATTTTCAACCAGAAATATGATTTATTTCATGGATGTAATTTTCTTTAAACACATCCTACTTTGAAAATATCTTTGTTTCTCCTGTTTGAAAGAGGACAGTAGAGTGAAGTACCCTTTCTCTAGACAACTGCTAGCAAATTATACTGCTTATTAAATAATTATTGATTTGATATGATTTAGGGGGCTTTTTGTAAATTTGAAAAAGTGTCATCTGGAGTAATCCTGATATGACCTTGGTCTTAATTAGATTGGTTTAAGGAGTATTAAAATCAAAGACAGAGATCCAAGATAACTGCGCTGGTGCTGGCCTCCTGATCACGTGGTCAGGCCCCACCCGTCTGGACAGCTCTTACTCCCACCTGCCTCAGCTTCATGATCCTCGGGAGTCGTGAGGAGCTGCTAAGAGCAAGAGACACAAACCAGTTGAAAATGCTCTAAGGTTCTTTTCAATCCCCTCCCTATGGCTCCTTCTTATCCTTAAACAGAAATAGTTAGGGAAGTGAAGGCAGCAGAGTTGTAAAGAACCAAGCAATAGATTAAAGTTCAATGCTTGAGGGTCTAAATTACATCTCTACTGTTATTGCAAAGTTACTTCACCCATTTACAATTTAGTTACATCCACCTCATTCATCTGTAAACATATGAGGTTGAACTATGTCGCCAAGGCCTCTTCTGGTTCCCAAACCCTGTAATTCAAACTACCTATAAAAAATAAATGGAACTTGGCAATGTTCAGTTTCTAAAGTCAAGTTGTAAAAGGTAGGGACTTTTTCATTAACAAGTGCCAGAAGCTATATGGAACTTTGTGGGTGCTCAATAGATATTAATCAGTTTTATCTTTTATGTGCAAAATGGGATGAGTAATGCTGACATGTCTCACAGAATTTCATGTGAGAAATAGTAAATGAGAACAAAGCGCTTTTCAGATAATGAATTAATTCAAATAAGCCGCTTTAATAGTTTGGAGGTCCAGCTAGATGTTGCAGGAAAAAAGTGTCTTTTTTTTTAATTACATCTGTGAAATACAGCAGTCCATTCATCTGTTCTAGAAGAAACAGTCATTATCCTTGCTTATCACCATGAAGTCAACATGAGTAATTTCTGTGCAAATGGAATTTTTTGTATGATTTTAATGTTTGTCACTTATAACAAAATGCAGCTTTTATCTTTACCTGATATCAAAATGGAATTATATCTTGATTTTAATAGTTTAATGAGGCATTCCATCACCATTATACTGCTCAGCCCACAGAAAATGCCTTTTGAAATGACTGATAAGCTGCACGAGTGAGCAAATTGTAAATTTAATAATCCTCCTACTCAAAAAAATGCAATTCAAGAATTGTTACTAAGAAACATGATGTGTTGCATTCTAGTTTCCTGGAGACTTCCAGTTTGTTCTTATTTATAATTACATTCCAGAAATCACATGTGCTATATTTTTTACAGTGTTCCAACAAAAGGCAGCCAGAAGACCATCTGATGGCGACAAGCTTCATGGTCCCAGGAAACAAGGTATTGACACAAACTTCAGTTTATTTAATTATCTCTAAGTCAGAGTTAGAGAAGTGTTATGAGTACGGAGTAAAGTCTCTTGGAATAGAAATAAATAAATGTACTTGATTAACTTTACTCTTAACTTTGTCCTACCCAAATATAATTTTGCCATAATAAGATTAATGCAAAAAAATATTTTAATTAACAAAGGCAAGAATTGGCCTTGTGAGAATATTTGTGGTGATGTTGATGATGTTATCAGTCCACTGAGCCACACCAGCCCAGGCTAAATCTGGTTTATTGATGATTCCGCAACTTAAGCAGTTTGCTTAGATTCCTTTAACCCTGGACATCAGTAATTCAGCATAGCAGGAAAGAGCATTGATCTATTTGCAAGGACAAGAGAAATATAAACCTCATGAAATGTTAAAAAGAAAAAAATAGTAACTCCCTGATTACTGCAATCTGAGAAAGAGAAGGTAATTGAGAATAATTGGGAATATTTTTTTTAATTAAAAACTTCTAAGTACCTAAAAGGGCTTACTATATCCAACCATTTCTGTCCAAACCTTTCAAGATATTTACGACCATCCAGTCCACAGGACATACTAGTTGATCAGAACTGTTCCTGCTTGAGCTAATGAATACTCTTCAAATATCCTGGGATTTCATGGTATAGTAGGAAAAGCAGTGCATAGCCTCACCAATGATAATCTCTTAATTTGGTAAAGAACAAAAAAAAAGGCCCCTTTATTAAACGTTTGTCAGAGTCAAGATTTTCTGAAGGAACTAGACAAGTTGTCTAAAAAAGGTGAAAGAAATTATTTCCTTAGATGCTAACAGGAAATGGGACTGTGAGAGCCAACTATATTTCCACTGAAAATATAAGTGTTTCAGATGGCCTATGTTCACAACTGCCAAGGGATTGCCAGGAAGTTACACTATTGCTAAATCAAGGAATTTTCCTGAGGAACAGAAAAAAAATTAATTGGCACCATTTCCATGGAAACTCAACAGATTTTTTTCAACTCAGTTTTCACATCTTGAAAAAATATAAGGAACATTCTGAGGACTTTGAATCACAAATAAAAATGTCCATCAAAATACAGTTTTGAAATCAGTTTTCCCACGTTGGTTTTGAAATTAGAAAATACCAGAGTGCTATAGCAGAATATGCTGCTTCCACACCTCCACCTTTTCCCAAAACTGAGCCTCACAGGCTAGTCTAGTGTTTGTTCCTCACATAGCAAGCCAGAGACCTGAATTTTGTCAGTGAGTTTGGAGTTGATCACAGTTTTGAAGTCTCAGTCATGTTAACCAACTTTATAGAGGACTAATTTGTAACCTTTATAGCCCCCAATTCCAACCTATTAAATCAGTACATTCCAAGGACTAGATTCCTTCCCAGTGACTAGAATGCTTACATTCATTAGGCCCCTGCCAAATAATAGTGTCCATAAAATATAATTAGTAATTATAAAACTACTAGGTAAACATGATTAAGTCAAAGGAGAATGGGGGAATTTAAGGGCTGCTTCTTCAAGGACATGGAAATGTCTGCTTAATTTTTTCTGCTCACAAAATCATGTAATAGTCTAGGGTTAAGATTGCTCATGCCTCCCAGGCATGTCACATTTTTTTCCCTGTTATATAATTTTTTTCTTGGACAATGCCAAAGGGACTTTTCTATCCTTACCAGAATCATCCCCATTTTATTAATGTAGTCTTACCTCAGACCTGGTACCTGGCAACTGATGAGGTTTAGCATTCTTAACATCTTAACGGCCTCATCCACAGTTCTCAGCCACACAGTTCAGTACTGAATTGCATCCAGGATGTGTTGTTGCTGTCATTCTTAAAAGGCAAGCCATTTCTCTGAGGGTAGGCTTGGCAGGGGGGTAGAGCACATCTACCCTAACCAACGGTCTATGCCAGTGACTCCCAGCCTTAGGTGAGCACAAGAATTATTTGAGAGCTTCTAAAATGTGACTGGCTGAGTCTGACCTTAGACATGGAATAAAAGTAGAGCACATGAGAATAATAATGAGCAATAATCTAAAAACCAACATGCAAAAAACAAAATCTAATGAAACTTTCAGAGGCATATTGTGGTCAAATTTTACTTCTGAATATATTTCCAAAATAATCTGTGCAAAATAATCTTAATCTTTGCCATGTTTAAACCCATATTTCATGTAAAAATTTAAATCTCCAACCACTTTCTATTATATAATTATATCACTTGCTACAAGTGACTTTTGCTATTATCATTTGTTAACAGGCTTTCTATATTGTTTTCTTATTTTGAGACATTCTCTAAAATTATAATTCTATCAAATGTGGAAAAATAAAAAATATAGAGATTCATGTTATCATAAAAACATGAAAAAGAAGATATTTATTTGTGATAACAAAGACTATTTGGATGTGTTTAATAAGCAGGCAATGAATCTTCTCTGCTTCGTAAGCCTATCTGCCTGGCTCTTGTAGGCTTTGAGTTTGCAATTCCCAGTGTAGTCTCTTCCCACTAACTTCACTATAGATTGTACAATTGTTCTTCGAGGATGTTCATGCTCATGGGAAAGATATATAGTCAGAGAACATATCTTGTGTGTGTTCTGTAAGTGCCCAGTGCTGCAGCAGTTTGATAACTGTTAAATAATAAAATTTTCTATCAGTAGCAGACCTGGGAAATGTGGATGGTATTAGCCTTATTTTGGAAGAGAGAATGCTATTCTCTGAGGTATTTTCTTCAAGTTGTTTTTGCCAGTATGAGATATATTAAAAAGAAAAGGAAAGCTATCGAAAAGTGGTCATTTGTACTCCATAAAAGAATAATGGACTCTGTTCTCTTTTTCAGTATAACTTACATTTCCATTTGTTGTATTGTTCACTAAAGCTTTTTTTTATTAAAGTCATACCTGGAAAAACTTTTTTAATAGCTGGGTTTTTGTTTAAAATGGTGATGCATCTACAGCCCACAGTGTGGCCTCTGAAAAATACTTGTGAAGTGAAGGCATCAATAAGATGGAATTCTTAATAACAGTGAAAACAAAGGCTGGAAAAAAGCAAATGCTAGAGTTTGGAACTAATCCAGCTAATTCTAAGACTGAAAAAGAAGATTGAAATGAATAAAACCAATAGCCCACCAGATCCACAGCTTTCACTCACACAGATGCTAATTTTTCAAAGTTCTGTTCTCTCCAGCTCTGACCTTTCTGTGTACGAGTACAGGCCAAGTAGCCCTCTCAACAGAAAGTGAGGAGGAGGGGTTTCCTGTTACATTTTGCAACTTAAGAGGCTCAGGTAAAGTTTTGTGATGGAAGGATGGGATGGTCAAGAGGAATTCTGTTAGTATTTTATACAGGGATTTAATACTTGACCTGTCAGTACATAATCCCAAAGAATCATGTCCTACCTATAGGTGACAATGCTGCGCTAGCAAAAGCCTGCTGAACTCTGGGGTCTTGAGCTGTGAACTACACATATCAAAAGTCCTCTGAGATTCTAGAGCCGAAATCAAAACATGATCTAAACACAAGCAATAGACTCCAAGGATAAATAAACAATCTGTTAATGAACATGATTCTATAGCTTTCAAGAAGCATTGAAGAAAAACAAACAATGAGAACTTAAAAAATTACTCTAGAGGAAAGAAAGGAACTTTTCCTCATTGAAACTCAGTATAACCATACTTCTGTAAATATTTCTTTAATGAGTAAGACTGTCATAACTTCCACAAAAGTGCCAAGGTATCAACATGGAGATAATAGGAAATACACAGACACACACACTAAGAACATTTCAACTAACAATTTATAATTTTTGAAATCTTAAGAATTTTATAAATATTGTAAAATTTTATAAAATGTTCTAAGGCAATTACTGTAAAAGGTATATGAGCCATCAAAGTCAGGCTGAGATCAAAGCGAACTGTTGAAAGACATTTTAGGTGAGATGACAGGATGAGGTGAAACATGTCACATGAAGAAAAGGGATCAAGTAGCAAGAGGAAGTATGGTAAAAATAAAATCTACTCGGGAGCTAAAACTTTCATAACAAATTAAAATCCTCATTGGTGACAACAAAAAGGCTAACAGTGGGTGAAATCAATTATTGAAATAGAAAATTTAATTGGAGAAGGGTTTGTTCTCAATAAAGACGGAAAATAATCAGAAGATATGGAGTACAGAGATCCAACTCCTGTATAATAGGTATATTTAAAATAGGATAGAAAATACAATAAATAGCATAGCTAAACAAAGCTTTGGAGAACAGAGGGTGGGAAATGGTATTGCGGACTGTGTGGGCTCACTGTGATCCAGGAAAAGGAAAGACATATACCCAGATTTAAACGCACCCTAGCAAATCTTTTAAATTTAAAGATGAAGAAAAAATCCTAATGTACTGAGGAAATATTTAACCTAGATTTTTCTATTAAAAAGTCACAATCAGTTTAAAATTACATAACCTGTGTAACAAAAATTTGAATGAAAGAACTATACATTTTATTAAGACAAGATTATGGCTTATGTTTATATTTAGTCAGATGTTTTGCTCATGTCATGAGAAAACAAATATACTTTTTGGATATCTTGGGTTTTAGAAAGAATAACATTCTATATTTTCATGAAAGTATTACCCCCTAAATTTTCTAGGTAAATGAGAGATGAAGCAAATAAATAGCTCAAAAAAGGAGCCATGATGTTAAAGAATTTGTAGTGAATAATGAATTTACTGAACCATAATGTTCAATTTAAATAATTATTATAAATTTACTTATAGACCATATGAATGTAAAATATTGGTGATAAATAATAAATACATAATGTAACAAATCATATTTTTATTGCCATAATAGGGATTTAATTCTCAAATGCTATAAAAATGTCTAGAAACTAGAAGAAAATGAAAAAAATAATATCGTACTATTTTACTTGTGACTTTACTAATTTACAAAAAATATAAGATAAAAAAATCTCTTAAATTTAAAGAAATAACCATTATTTAAAAATAAA